CCGCCCCCATTGGCCCGGGACGGCGAACCGCGGCCAGTGGGGGCTGCGATCGGCCGAACCTGCCGTGTCAGCAGGTAAATAAACTGGCCCGGCCCGCTAGGGTGCTTACCCTGGCGAGCCACGTGCCAAACGTTGCCGACCCCTGTTCTAATATATAGCTAGCATCAACATGAACTTCAGAGAAGGATCAAGCCATTTTGTTGTTCCATTAACAGCACATTATTTATCTGCTAATTAAAGTACGGTCTTGTTCTATCTTTGTCATTTCCACATTTATTTTAGTAAAATGAGTTATTGTCTATCTGAAGTTGAATAACTCTGGGGATACAGGAACTAACTAGTTTGCTTTATGAAAGTACATTATTAATGTGTCCATGTAATAAGAAACCTTGAACTCTGAAATTGATCTGACTGGGAAATTAGTTTGGGGGATTTTCTTAACAATACCATATTTTAGCTATAGTGATTAGCTCAAACTTTGTATATTTTTATTTGTTTAGTATGCAAACACTTTCAGGGAAATAGCTTCCTTATTTTATATGTCCAATTAAAAACCCATGAATGCATAAGGTGCTATATAGTAAACAATAAGAGAAACTAGGATACGGCTCAAACCTGCTTACTCTAATACATGTGAACAGCTTTACACGCATGAAGTCCCAATGAAGCAAATAAGTCTACTCAGGTGAGTAAAATTACGTATATGCTTGTCTGTAGCCCTAAGCACATATTGATCGGCTATTCTAATTTAAACATCTTCATCTAACTTTTATTGCAAATAAGCCTGCTGACAAACAAGTTATGGAGAATATTATATTTTACCATTACAAATAAGGAATGGCTTGTATGAGTATTTGGCTATCAAAATGAGTTGTAAAATTCAAAATATTTTGCTGACTATGTAAAGATTGTTTGAGTGAGATTCAAAAATATATTGCTGTTTTTGCATATGTAAGCATTTGCTTTCTAATAAATATCCTTCTTTGCTAAAATTTTAGCTACTAAAATATCTGACTTTATTAATTTTAGACATTATTAATGCTTCAGATGCGCATAAATTAGTTGACTTTTTCATCTATGTTTATCTGGGTGTATAGAAGCTTCATACCGAATTTTCCCTTGGCAGTGAAATTTGCAAATATATTAGGTGTTTATTTTTTCATGATGCAAAAATATGGACAGAAATGTGAACTTTCTTTAAATATAAACTGTGAATCTCATTTAAAGAGACTGAGTTGGTGCCAGAACTTTACTTTGTAAAAACTAGTGGGTGGAGGGGAGAGTGAATAGTTCATTGTCATTGAAAGTGATTAAATATATGTATATTGAAGTATCATTCTATAAAAGCGCTAGCTAAAATAGCGTTAGCCCTTTTTGAGCTGAACAGCTAGCCAAAAATTTGAGGTCTCTTAGGTTGTTCCAGTTAGGCAGAAAAATTGGTGCAATTCTTTGATGCAGTTCTGTTTATTTACAAAGAATGTGTAAAGTCCACAGAAGGACTCAAATAGCAAAAAACTTTCTTTTATCACAGCACCAGGAACACTCTTTCCAGCTTGCACATCTGACCCCCAAACCTCACCTTCTAAGATCAGACATGTTTTCAGCAGATCCTTCAGCCTGTCTGTGTCTCTCTTTTTCATTCTTTGTGTTCTGCTCAGGTTAAAAAACTTACTAACTGTCAGGGTAGTTAAGCACTGGAACAAAATGGTGACAGATGTTGTGGAATCTCCATCACTGGAGGTTTTGAAGAACAAGTTAGACAAACACCTCTCAGGAATGGTCTAGTTATCATTTAGTCCCGTCTACTGAGGTCCTACTGAGGTCCCTTCCAGTCCTACACTTCTATGATTCTATGATGGAAAAGGGTCAAAGGAATAGGATGTGTCCTTAAGGGGATGGGTGTCAGAAAGGTTCTCGGAAATGGGGAAAATAAAGTTAGGGGAGACTGAGGAAGGAGAATATAACAGTAGTGAAGTGACAGAGAGTCCTGTGGCACCTTTAAGACTAACAGATGTATTGGAGCATAAGCTTTCATGGGTGAATATCCACTTCGTCGAGTAGTGAAGTGATGGCTGTAAAGAAAATACCACTGTAAAATAAGCACAATCTTAGAACTGAATGATATTTTTATTTTCTCTGAACCCTATCCTTTCTCCATATCTAATGCTATCTATTAAAATACATACAAGTAATTGAAGAAAAACCTAGATTTAAATTACAGTTTCATGCATATTGAGCAGAAATCCCATGACTTCAGTGGAAAGAGGATCAGGCCCATTATCAGATAGGCAGTAAGTTTAGAATATCTCAAGGTGATAGCCAAGGACTTCTATATTTGATCTGCCAAGGTGGAACAGGAAACACAGATGTCACCTTTCGTTTTCTTGGAGCTCGTCACTGTTTTGCAGCTCTTGTATGAAGCACTGAAAATGTCAGCTCCTGAGAGAGACAGATCATTAGGCTAGAGTGAGTTCAAAAAAGTAACACTGGCTTCTTTGTTGACCCTTACAACACTGAAGACTAATATACATTTTTTTCTTCACTAAAAGGACATGTAGTGTATATCCATTTGCAGGTCCTGATCTCATACACTACCCCTTCATGAGTACCCCAACCCTCCTCTATGCTGTTCATCCTAATCAATCCATAACTGCTTGCCAATGGACAGATCTCAATCTGAAATCTACCTCACAGCCTGCCAGAGAACTCCTGGATTAGAGATCTGAACCAGGCCTTCCTACCAACTTTTGCAACCCTTCCTGGCAAGGGGAGCCAAATTCACCTGCCTCCCAGCTGCTGGAGACCTTGCTGCTAATTCTGGGTATGTTCCCTCACCAGCTATTGGGAGACTCAGTTTTCATTTGTGATCCACATGGAACGTGAATCATGGTTGTGGGGTTAACATGGTGTTGAGATATTGTTCAAATGAGAATTAGTTTTATAATGGAGTTAGGGTTTAGATTTAAGGCTGAATCATGACTAGAAGCTGAGTTTGGGTTCAATGGTAACATATTCAGTGCTGCCAAGTGAAATTTTTAACCCAAAATTTCAGAGGCCTGGCACCCTCTTAAAGACTGAAACTTTCAAAATCCTGTGTTCTCATGAAATTTCAGTTGCATCCAAATTTTTCTAGTTTTTGATCCATCCTAGATCCATTCTAATACCAGTGAGAAAGGGCTTACATTCACAGTTTTGACTATAATCATCCTTGAAAATTATAAAGGGTTGGATTCAAAGTTAGTTTGGGCCCATATTGGATTAAGATCAAGCAGTTTCTTCTCCCAATTTTAAATGTATACTACATTTTTATATCTCATGTGTTAAAATTTCTCTGGATTATTTACATGATGCTAAAACACAGGCAGTGCCAAGTTCATCATGAAACAGGTGTTCCTTCTTCTGCCCATTTATAAATACTCTCCAATTGGTAATTCAAGGATTCATCACACTTTTTGAAGATAGTAACTTGACCAGTATTCCCTTCTT